GGGTCAGTGTCAGAGGAGGAGATGTGACCCTCAAGCGGAGACCAGGGAGTGAGGGATTTGCAGATGCCACACTCCTGACTTTGAAGATGGGGGAAGGACCAAAGAGCCAATGAATGCAAGCAGCTTCTAGAAACTGGAATAGAAAAGGAGGTGGATTCTTCCCTCAGTGCCTCTGGAAGAAACTGGCCCTGCAGGACACCTCGAGCTTAGCCTAGGGAGACTTATTTTTCACTGGTGACAAGATAATTGACGATGTTTGAAGCCCCTAAACTTGTGGTAATTTGTTACGGCATCAGTAGGAAACTAATAGTCTCAAAGCCCAGTAAGATGTCTTGTGTTATTTTAGCAAACTATCCACCTACCCATTTACCAGTTTTACTCCAGAACATCTAGAATAGTATGGTGCATGTGGAAGACACTTACTAACTACTTGTTGGATGAATAACTCGGGAGCATATCATACACTTGGTAGTATGGGAAACATCTGGACACATCCCTGCCTCACATCTACCATTGTGGAGGAGAATTGGACATTAAACAAATAATTTAACAAATAAAATATACATAGATTTATGTGGCAAGTGCTGTCACAGAAAACTACAGGGAGCGATGACAGAGTACCATCGGGGAAAACTAACTTAGATATGGGGTCAAATAGAGCCTTCCATGGGGACACACAGTTGCCATGAGGACTGGACACAACCTCATTGGTTCCAGTTTTAAAGACAAGAGACTTTCTCTGCACAAGGAGGTGAACTGAGTTGAGCTCTCATGGTGTCTACCATTTTTTTTTTTGGAACAAGGTCTTGTTCTGTTGGCCAGGTTAGAGTGTAGCGGCATCATCATAGCTCACTGCAACCTCAAACTCCTGGGCTCAAGCAATTCTCCTGCCTCAGCCTCCTGAGTAGCTGGGACTACTGGAGCATACCACCATGCCTGGCTAACTTCTCTCTCTCTCTCTCTTTCTCTCCCTGTATATTTATTTATTTTTTAAGAGAAGAGTCTCACTCTGTCACCCAGTCTAGGGTGCAGTGGTGTCATCATAACTCACTGCAATTTCAAACTCCTGGGCTCAAGTGATCCTCCTGCCTCAGCCTCTTGAGTAGCTGGGACTATAGGAGCATACCACCATGCCTGGCTAATTTTTCTATTTTTTTGTAGAAATGGGGTCTTGCTCTGGCTCAGACTGGTCTCAAACTCCTGGCCTCAAGCAGTCCTCCTGCTTCAGCTTCCTAAAGTGCTAGGATAACAGGTGTGAACCACTGTATTTTTTTATTTTAGAGAAATTGTTTTCCTTGGGATAAATTTTTTCTATTTTCATTTTTTCAATGATTTGTTCAATTAGTGGTTTTGTATTTGTTTTTTAATGGCTTTATTTAGATATAATTCACATACCATACAATTCATCCATTTAAAAGTATATAATTTTATGCTTTCAGTACATTCAGTATATTTAGAACATTTTCATCACCCCCGAAAGAAACTGCATATCCATTAGCAGTCACTCCCATTCCCCCTGGACCCCCAACCCTAAGCAACCACTAAGTTGCTCTATCTTTATGGACTTGCCTATTCTGGACATTCCATACAAATGGAATTGTACAATGTGGTCTTTTGTGACTGGCTTCTTTCACTTAGTATGTTATCAGATTCATGCATGTTGTAGCACATATTAACACTTCATTCTTTTTTGTTGCCAAATGTTTCATTGTGTGCATATACTATACTTTATCCATTCATCAGTTGATGGACATATGGGTCATTTCTACTTTTTGGGTAATATGAATAATGTTGCTATGAATATCCATCCATGTACAAATTTTTGTGAATGTACATTTTTATCTTGGTTATATACCTAGGAGTGGATTTGCCAATTGGTTGCATTTGACCTTACCCAATTTTCCTGGCTAACACTTCTGCATTGTGTGTTCTTTTATAAAAAAAACAGAAAGACACACAGAGAGGGATAAAAAGAGAGAAAGACAGAGAGAGCCTATACTTGTTCAGGTGTCTTCTCTGAAATTCTTGAGTACATGGCAGATTCAATAATCATGGGGTTGCAATGATGGCATCAAAGTGATTGGGTGAAAATATCGTACAAAGGAAAGGTTTTCTGGGAAAAAAAAATTTCTAACCTGAATTGAGCTGTTTTTTTTTAAGAACTGGAGAGTAGACAAAAGAAGATGGCACTCTATTAGAGGCCACCACACAAGCAAAAGCCTGGTGACTGGGTTGAGTATGGAGTACTTGGGGAATAAGTAAAAGGTAGTAGGTGAGGTTGGAATAATTTGTTGGGAATCACATCATCAAGGACTTTGAATGGCAAACTCAAGGGTTTAAAGATTAAATTCCTATAGCTTTGGAGGAGCCATTGGAGACTGTGGTTCAGAGACATAGGTCATATGATCAGATCAGATGGGCATGATCACAGCAATGACTGGCAGGTGCAGGTAGGATGGACCTAAGCAGGGAGACATCTGACATAGCATGCCCTCATCCTTAGGAGGCTGCTGCAGCAATTCAGGGCTGAAGTAAAGGCTTTGAGCATAGCCAGCTGGAAGTCAGTAGCTTACATATTGATTCAGTGGGCAAAAGCCACATTCATCATGGGGCTGGTTCCCTAAAGGACCCACGCGTATGTGCAGGGAACTCATCATTTCCCTATTACAAAAATCGATTAGGTCCTCAGAGTCAAGACTGATGCCAGAGATTTGCTGCTAATCAGGCTAGAATAACAAGTTGGAGGACAAGGCAGGCTCTCTGCCAACTGGGCAAGGAACTGGTCCCAGAGGCACAGAACACTGCAGCAAAGCACCCTGTCCCTGCTCAAAAAGTCTGGGCAAAGACAGCCTCTGAAAGGCCTGGCAATGCCCTTCAGCTGCATCTGGAGTCTCTAGGGCCAACTCCTGGAACGACACTTCTCAAAGCTTCTGTCAGAGCTGACCAGCCAAGTGGAATCCAGCCCCAGAGGTCCAAGGCTGGGCCGTCCTCACTGCCTGCAGAAGCTTGTAAGGGTGGGGATACTGGGGGAAAAGAGCCTAGGGCAGCATCTGTGCAGAGCCCAGGGGAAGCAAAGACTTAGAGAAAGAATTGACTTCATTTTGACAATAATAATAATAGTCTGCAATGACAATAATTTGTATTTGTATAATCCCCCCACTGTGCTCCAGAAAAGGAGGAGGATCAGCTTTCTGGGTGGATGAGATATCCTTCCCCTCACACAAAGCCTCCCCTGCCCCATTCTAAGAAAAACCCTGTGAAACTAGCCACCTGCCATCCAGTGCTAGGAAGCCTAGTTCTGAATACGGTGGTGGTGGTGGTGGCATCTCTCCTCTTCTGTCCCCTCCCTAACACAGAGGGGAGTGCAGTTCGCTCCATTTATAAACTGGAGCAGCATTTTTGAGAAGCCCCAAGTCTCCAATACACCCTCGTTTGGGCAAATCAACGTCCTAAGTCAGATGCCTTTCAGCTTTCTGCAGCTCCCCTGCCCCCAGCCCACCCCTCAGTCTGTGACGGGCTGGGGTCAGAGGAACCTGGTTTCAAAGTGGTGAAACGCTCAATGAGTGGTGGAGGGAACATTCTGAGCACCCTGACCCAGTTGACTGATGCTACTGCCACCCACACTTTGGGTTGAACTTAGCTCGGAGTGCTTCCTATTTCTGGAGGCCAGAGAGCCCGGATTGGGGATGGATGGGGTGGGCTGTGGGGGGCGCTCTGCATTTCGCTACAGTTCACCCTCCTGGGGTATCTAAGCACAGTCACCATCGTTATCTTTATTTTCTGCCATCTATATCATATTATCATTATCAGGGTCCTCCTCCCCACAGCCTGTAGAAGCGAGGAGGACAGAGAAGGAGCTGTCTGCCCCAAAACGATGCTTTTCTGGCTGTACCGAGGGTGTTCCTTGCCACAGAATTTTGTGGCCCCAGCAAAACCGGCTTGTGTCCAGCAGAGAAGCGCCTGCGACAGCACAGAGCACCCGCCGTCTTTTCCTGCCGTGGTGGGGCGGAGGGGCCACCATTTCGCCGAGGCGCCCTTCCCAGAGCACACCCTTCCCCGCGCTGCCCGGGGGGAGCGGCCAGTGAGCTTCCCTTACACCTCCCCTATTCCTCTACCCTCTACCGCAGCGAAGGTCTTACCCAGGCTCCCCTACCCCAGGCTGGAGGGGTCGGTGAGCTGGGGTAGCGAGAGGAGACCCGGCAGCCCACCGGGCCTGGGAGCTTTCTCCTCCGATGGCACCTCGGTCCCCCACCCGCTCTTGACTCCTCCCCTGTCTCTGTTCCGCAGCGTCCCCGCCCTGTCAGCACCCTGCTTCAGCGACTGCACCTGCCTCAGGTTGGGGAGGGGCACGCGGGAGGTAGAAAGGAAAACAGGGAGGGTTTGGGGAGCACGGTGCAGTGGGGTGAGCGGCCTCGCCGCGTGCCTCCAGCCCCCGCAGCCCCAACGCCACCCACCCCGCGGCTGCGGCACCGATGCGCTGTCCGCGGTGCTGACGCTGGCCGCCCGCTCGGTCGAGAGGGGGAACAAACGCCCTGGTTCCCGGGTCTCCCGGAGCCGAGTGGCCGCCTCTCCCCACTTCCCAAGCGGCATCATTTTTCCAAAGGAAGCCTCTGAGTCCTAGCGCTGCAGTTGGATCCAGGACAAAGGAATAAACGAAGGGAACTTAAACTTCGGATAGAGCCCAACAACCCAGTGTCGGGATGCGCGTCGTGCGGCCCCCAGCCCTTGAGACCGCAGAGCATCATCAAGTTGAGCAAAGTTTCACCGCGGCTTGAGATGCGGGAGGGATATCGGAGGCGAAGCGCAGAGTGGTAGGACCGGCTTCCCAGGCAGAGTAGTAGCCAGCGCCGCAGTCGGACAACCTGCTCCGGTGCCCCGCATCTGTGCCGCTAGAACCACCGGGAGGCGTAGCGGCAGCCCAACTCTCCACCCCCTCCCTCCCTTCCTTACTCACCCCTCCCCAACACCCCGCCCCGGGCGCAGATGACTCCGCCTCTCGGTGCCGGGCGGCTCTTCGGCTGGAGCTGGGAAGGGAGCGCTTCTCCGGACTCGGCTCAGCTCTGAGGCTCCGAAGCCGACGCCGCCAGCTCAGCCCTGGGGGCGGGAGCAGGACTGTCCGCGCAGCCTGCACCTGGTAGCTGCCGAGCCCGGAACGCCTTATGGGACGCCCCCGGGGGCTCTCTCTGCGCCCTGCTGCCACGTCCCTGTCCTAGGCGCCCGGGCTCCACGGCCTGCCCCGCCCGCAGCCCGCGGCCTGTCTGGAGAGGAGTATGAGGCCCGGGGCCCCGCGGACGCCGGCCACAGGGCGGCAGGGGCCTAGCTGCGGAGCCCCGCGCCCGAGGGCGGCGGGTAAGGAGTCGCGGGAGCCAGCGAGGCGTCGGGGCGCGCAGAGGAGCGCCCCAGCCCTGGCGCCCGCTGGGCCGCGGGACTCGTGTGTGGCCTGAGCGCCGGGGAGGAGGCGCCCCTCCGTCCGGGTTCTGGGGAAGGCGCAGAGGGGCTCCACGGCGGCCCCTGACCCCTGGCCACCATCCTCACGCTCCTGCTCCCGCGTGGGGGATGTCGCGGCCCGGGCCCCGAGCGCCGCCCCGGCCCCGGGGCTGAGCTCCGGACCATGTCCTCACGCAGCCCCCGGCCCCCGCCCCGCCGCTGCCGCCGCCGCCTGCCGCGCCCCTCCTGCTGCTGCTGCTGCTGTCGCCGCTCGCACCTCAACGAGGACACCGGCCGCTTCGTGCTGCTGGCAGCGCTCATCGGCCTCTACCTGGTGGCGGGTGCCACAGTCTTCTCGGCGCTCGAGAGCCCGGGCGAGGCAGAGGCGCGGGCGCGCTGGGGCGCCACGCTGCGCAACTTCAGCGCGGCGCACGGCGTGGCCGAGCCGGAGCTGCGCGCCTTCCTCCGGCACTACGAGGCCGCGCTGGCCGCCGGCGTCCGTGCCGACGCGCTGCGCCCGCGCTGGGACTTCCCTGGCGCTTTCTACTTCGTGGGCACCGTGGTGTCAACCATAGGTGAGCGGCGCGCCCTGCGCGCGTCTTTCCTCTTCGCGCCTTTCACCAGCCGCGTTTTCCACTGCTCCGCTGCTCGGTCCGCGTCCCTCGGTTCCTACCTTCCCTTCTAATGTCCCTTTGCGGACTTTTGCCTCACCCTCTCCCCTCCACCCGTCCCCCTCCTGCTGCCTCTTCTCTCTTCCCCGGCTTTCGCTGGAGGAGGAAAGCCCAGCTCTGGCGCGCACTCAGCAGTGACTTGCCTGGCAGTGTAGCCGAATGGGGAGAACCTTACCTAGGCGCCTGGCAGCCGGAGGCTGCCTGCGCTCCAGCACTTCTTGCAGACTCCATGACGTGACCTTGGTGCGCCTAAGTCTTCTCCTCTAAAAGAGGAGAAAATGTGAGGTTATGTGTCAAGGGCCGCTGCTTTTTTTTTTTTTTCCCTATTCCCCGCCACCTCCCACCCCCAGCCTCAGTTTCCTCACCCAGATGATTTGGAAAGCCCTTTCACCTTCCACTCTCAGCATGTTTATTTCCTCTTCTTTCACACCGTTTTCCTCTTTCTTCTTTACCCTGCGTTTTCCCCTCAGCTGCCTCTAACCCTTCGACCACTTGCCCCAGAATCATTTTCCCTAGATCTCCTTCCCACCAGCTTCTACAGTCTACATTGCCGCCCTCCAAAGTAAAGCCTGTTGGTCAGAGGCCCGGACTTCTGCCCCCTCCCTTGGTAACCCTCCATTCCCAGCCTCTTCTCCAATTTCGTGACCTCTTTCTTTGTTGTCTCGCCACTTTTTCCAATCAGTAGTAGTGCCAAGGGATGGCTGGGAACAAGCATATTTTCCCTATACTTTCCATCATCCCTTTTCCCTATTTTTGGCATAAACAGTTCATGTTTTTTCAATTTGACAAAAAATGCTGTGTAAATACTCCTTCAGGCCCCCCCACTCCTCCCTCTTTGGCCAGATTGCTGCCTCTGAGCTCCTGTGGAGAAATTCTGAAGCCACCATTGCTGTCCACCCTACCACTTCCCTCCTCTTTTTTCTCCTCTCACTCCCTTTCCCATGTCCCCCTTTCCCTGGGCCCTGGGTGCCATGTGAAACACAGCTCTCTCCCCCCACTGCCACCCCAGTTACTCACCTGTGTAGAGTGCAGAAGAAATACAAGCTTCTCACTTTGGCAAGACTGTATGTGTCCCCCACTCCTGCTTGGAGTCCCAGGGTGGGAGAAGGCACTTGGCTGGTCACACCTCTAGTCATCCCAAGGCACTGTCCCTGGTGGTGCAGTTTTGGAGGAGGGGGCTGGATTTGCTGGGCTGAGAAGTGAGAGGGATGTCATAGACACGCCTTCCGTGGGTGGGTTCTGGGGTGGTTTGGCATGCCAGCTCAGAGACAGGGCATGGACTGTAACTGACCAGTGTAAGCCACCGCAGATGGCTGTTGGAGGCAGGGAGAAAGGCTGCATCCATGTGCAGAATATGAGCAGCTAGAGATGTGTCTCTGAGTGTATATGTATAGTCTATGAAAGAGCTTCTTGCCTTCTATGATTTTTCATGTGTCATGCTTGATCTATTTTAAATAGAAAAGGCAAATATGGCCCAAGTCCAAGGCACACACAAATTGGATAAAAATACTCTTTAAAAGCTATATCATGTTGTTATGGTGATAGAAGATATAAAATGACCCCCTCAAAAAATCCCCTTTTAAGAGCTGCATCAAGTTGCTATAGCAACTAGAGTTTTTTTTAAGTGCTTTAAAAGTACTAAGGATGCTTAGTCCTGGAGGATGACATCATGCGTTCATAGCTTGTTATTGACTTGTGCTCTTCTTTTTGTAAACACACCCTTTTGCTGTCTTCCACCTAGAGGCACCTGTGTACCTATTGGGTGGTCACAACATTTTTTTCCCAGTGGCATGATCTGGCTTCCTAATGGAACCCACAGGCTAAAGGGGAAGCCGTTTGTACTGTCCTCTTCCCCTTCGGGCCATGAGTCCATCCAAATAGGGCCTGATTCCAGTGACCTGTGGTCTTTGTGCCTCACTGATGAGCTCCATCAATCTTTCATTCACTGCCCCTTTGGATGCAGAGATTCTAAGGCCAGACACGGCTTCTAAAGCTTCTCTCTCTCAGCTCTTTGCACAAAATTAAGTCAGCATGTTGGGAAATTGTTCTATTCCCCAGCCTTTAATCTACTGGCAGGATTGGCTCTTTAGTCAAGCAGAAAGAAACTATATTCTCTTTCTTGATTTGTGTTTTCAGATGTAAGCAAGCAATGTGGGAAGGCTACACTGAAGCATGTGGCCATGTTACGAATGACCCAGCATGTTGCTTCCAAAATCTGCAGGGAAACATTCGAACCAGCCTGTGGACAATTCAGGGTTGAACTAGCCCTCTGCAGGGGTGCCAAGATAGCCACAGAAGTAGCAGGGGCTCTACTGGTTAGCCACCTGCTGGGGCATTCTGGGGCAGTGGTTCAAATTGGTCACTTCTGTCAGTCAGATAAGTTCTACTGAATCCACAAGTAGCATGATTGGCATTTCAGCCTTCTCTTTGCAAAATACACTTGGATGAGATTTAAGGAAAGACTTACATAGGTCCATTTCTCTTCTGCTTACATAGTTTCTTTCCCTTAAATTCCCTGAGTCTTCAGTGACAATTATTGTTATTACTGATGCTTTTATGGATTCAACAGCTCGGGAAGCCAGAGCTCAGTCCCACATGGGCAGTCGGGATTCTTTATCTGCCACCTCATCCAGTGAAGAGGAAAACTAGCATACACTCGGTTTTATTTGATGAGTGAATATCACAGTGTGTTTGGTTCCTATAGTAGTGTAGAATTCAGGGGACCAAAATGATTTGGTTCAGCTATTTATACTGCCTAATTAAACAGGACATTTGTGTATATGTGTGTGTGTGTGTATGTGTGTGTTGTGTAGACCCAGCTAAGTGATTCATCTCGACTTTAGTATAGAAAAATCCTTCCTTCCTTCATTCTATAAATATGATATATTGTGTATATCAGGCCCAGTGCTATATTTTGAAAGGTTAAAGCATATTCTAACATGAGCAGCTGGATTGCAGCATTTATAAGCAGCATGTCCTGGCTATCCTCACTAAATATTATTAGAAGAAGGAGACCTTTGGTATAATCCCATATGACACAGTATTAAGGGACTTGTCCAAGGTCACACAGTTAATGAGGGGTTCAGCTAGGTCTAGAAACCAGGTATGCAGAGTATGTTCCCCCAATTTCATGCATATAATGGGTGGGAACATTCTTGTTCTAGACTAAAGAGTTTGATAAAGGTTGTGTATGTGTCTGTCTGTCTGAATGAGCATCTGTGTGTTCTGACACCAGGGCAGGGACTGGTTTGATGGTCAGGCTATCAAGTCATTAAGCCCACGGAAAACTCAAAGAATCAGACACATCTTATAGGTTATACAGGTTAGAAGCATCTGGCAGGTCTTAGCTGGGCAGGCAAGAGCCAGGAAAAAGAAGGTCAGACACAGGGGCGCTTGCAAGGAGACATTCTGGTAAACTCTGGTCGAAGGACAGAAGCCACTTACTTTCTGCCCTTTTTTGCACCGTGTGTGTGTGTGTGTGCACACGCATGCTTACTTGTGCATTCACATGTGCTCTTAAGAGTGTATATAGAGCCGGAGAAGAAGAGGCAGAAACAGGCCTTCAGTGAGTGGAATACATAAAGAAAGTTCAGGTATAGCCGTGTGTACTCAAGGTTAGACGGAACACCACAATGAGATCAAATTTGTCCTGACATTTGTTTGAACAGGGCCCCATGTCTAGAGCTGGACAGTTTGCAATTGTATAGACACACATGTGTCCACGCAACACAGACCCGGTGGGAAAATTTCACCTGTGATTATTCAGCAGTGGTTGAGACTCTATAGAAAGTCAGTCTGAATAGCTCAAGCAAAATAAAAATCCACTTTGTGGTCTAAATTATTTATACTGATTGCTTACCACTGAAATTCTGGATAATTATTATTTCTCCCATTTATGTTATGTGACACAGTCCCTACGGGTTGAAATCAAGTTTGTTTTAATGTGAACGCATCCATTTATTCATTCCTCCATTTAACAAACATCCAAGACAAGCATAACTCATCATAGATGTATGAGTGGCCTTTGGCACATCAGTATCTGTGTCTCCTGTGATTACATGAACCCCTAAAGATAAAGATGGTGGCTTGTGGTCTTTTAGTACTAAATAATATTCCTGGAGGCAGTACTCCAGCTCAGAGATATTCAAAACCATCCAAAGAGTATTAACCTATCATTTCACATCCTAAAGGATGCTTTATTGGTTTACTTTGAAAAGATTAAAAGGAAACTCTCCACTGGGGTTTTAATTATGCATCTGCTGTCAAATTTACACATAGGAAAGAACATATTTAAAAGTCTTTCTCAAATGGCAGCTTGATATAAACAGAAATATTTTTGCTTCCTTTTATTAGGTTTTCTGGCAGCGTTTTTTAGCTATAAAGCTAAAATCATGCCGCTGTAGACGGGATGGTGTAGGTATAAGAGCTGTCACTTTTGGCACTGCATAATTTAGCTCGCTACTTTCAGAATTAGGCACACTTAATTATTCAGCCACGAGATTAGTAACAAGTCCTAACTTTTTCCCCCTTTTTCAACATGGATTTTTCAAAAATGTTTTTGCTACAAAGGAAACTAAGACATTGTAAGCTCAGAATGTCACTACCACTTTTACACTGGGCTTTCTTCTAACATGTATGTAATCCAGCTGGAGGTGGTTTTGATGTGCGATACATTACCCAGAAGGAAAGCAGTACCTTTCCTCACTTATTTCTCTTCTCCAACTATTTTTTATTGAAAGATGATGCTATGGCAGCTTTCAAGGACATTTAGAGAAAAAATGTCTCATTAGATTTGAAGCGCTGGGTGGAAGGCCGAAAATACATTTCCATTCACTACTCCATCCTCGGACCCAGCCCATAGTAAACACTCAGTAATTATTTATTAAATGAATAAGAAAACAAGT